AACGAAGCTATTCTGCGAGACTTCCTCAATTTTTGAACTTGACAACGTCAAAACCGAAGCAATTCTGCGAGACTTCTTCATTTTTTTGGTTGACAACTTCAAAAAGGAAGCAATTCTGCGAGACATCCTTCAAAAATGGAGAGTTGAGTGCAGAGCTGACGGCCTCGTACCAATGCGTTTTGCGATTTTTCCCACTCCATCTGTCTAAACTACTGTGCCTGCCACGAACAAGTGATGCCAGGTCATACGAAGTGCTGCACCTGTGACGCAAAATCATCTCAGCAAACCTGAAGATCTGATGCTCCAAAATGCAACCCCTCTCAGGAAATCAGCGCCCCGACCTCCTAACAGCTCTGATGAAGATGTCTCTTGTACTGCGCCTGACACGGAAAATGCATCTTTGCAGATCCCCTTCAAATGTCCCACGCCTGCCATCGCTTTTGAAAATGCTACAAAACCCTCACCTTTTGCTCACTTTTAACACGGTGCACAATCCCTTGCGCCTGCCACGCGAAACGACACTTCAAAGTCCAAAAGTGGCGCGAACATGTAGTGCTTTTAACATTTTGACTTTGAAATGTGCTTCGCGACACACTGGCGTGCACTTTTTCGACATCTCAACTTCCAAAAGTGGTCCGGACCTGGTGACCTGGTGTGCTTTGCGCATTTTGACTTCGACATGTGCTTCAAAAAGTGCTCCGAACGTGTGGTGCTTTTACCTTTTTCACTGGCAAATGTGCTTCGCGCCACAATGGCGTGCACTTTTTCGACATCTCAACTTCCAAAAGTGGTCCGAACATGTAGTGTTTTGTACATTTTGACTTCGAAATGTGCTTCGCGCCACAACGGCGTGCAATTTTTCATCTCTCATCTGGCCAGCTGGCTCCACACCCGCCGCTTTAGCGAGCCTACTTTTCGACCCTCCGGAGCCACAAATCATTGGAAAAACGCTGTGCTTCGCGACTTTCCTACCTTTTCGCGCACCTGGATCTTCTTTCTTCTGAGACTGTCTCCTTTATGATCTTCTTTCTTCTTCTCTTCTCTTCTCTTCTCTTCTCTGACTCTTCCCATCTCTGCTTTTCATCTGTCCATATTGTCGGAAGTTTGACTTCTAAACTTCCTTCGATAACACAATATGATTCGTGTGTGTGTGTCTGAAAATTAGGCCATGTTTATTTGAGTATTGAAATCAATGGTTTTTTTGCGAATGCCCAATTTGAAGACTTCCAATAGCCATGTCATTTGTTTTTTGGACCATTCTTCCGAATTTTCAGCAGAGGAATGACCCCTGCGCACATCCATTGAATCTGGAGATAATCCAGTTTGAGAAAAAAACCGCATGAAGATTAGCCTCCTGTAAAATTACTTTACTTCGAGTTATCCCCACCATGGCATTTATACATTTTGTTACTGGCAAATCTTCTGGCATTCTATCTGACATACCTTCTGGCATTTTATCTGGCATAGCTTCTGGCATTCTATCTGGCATATCTTCTGGCATTCTAGCTGGCATATCTTCTGCAATCTGTTCTGGCATATCTTCTGGCACTCTATATGGCATATCTTCTGGCATATCTTCTGACATTCTATCTGGCATTCTATCTGACATATCTTCTGGCATTCTATCTGGCAAACATTCCGGCACTTTATCTGGCATACCTTCTGGCATTCTATCTGACATTCTATCTGGCATACCTTCTGGCATTCTATCTGGCATATCTTCTGGCATTTTATCTGGCATATCTTCTGGCATTCTATCTGGCATATATCTGGCATATCTTCTGTCGTTCTATCTGGCCGTTGAGGTCCAGCGGTACACACTGAGCTGGGAAGGTCCCAGGTTGAGGTCCAGCGGTGCACACTGGGCTGGGCAGGTCCCAGGTTGAGGTGTGCGATCCCAGTGCACACTGAGCTGGGAAGTTGGCAAAGAGCTTGGCGAAGAGAGTTGGCAAAGAGCTTGGCGAAGAGTTGGCAAGGCGGAAGTGGAGGTGGAAGTTGATGCAGACATGGTCGAGGAGAAACTAGAAGAGGAGGAGGAGGAGGAGGACAGCTAGCCGAGGAGGAGGAGAACAACTCTGATAAAATCTAACAACCCTAACCTGGCAGGTGGGGAATAACATGAATGTGCATTCATGTGTAGATCATTTCCTCTATGGAAAGCCTGGGTTTTCCACATCTATGTCAGTTTACTCCCCAAGCTCATCCATGTTTCATACGTTTTTGTCGCAATTCCACAAGGAGAGAGAACAAACATCAATCCTAAAATAGCGCTGAATTACTGTTATCAGTTTGCAAGGTGAAGCCCCTTTTTTCATGAAAGCTAAGTTGGTGCAACTAACTTGAAATCGATGGTTGATTCATGGGGATAGAACTGAAGGACTTGGTGGCTCATCCCACTTGCTAACTAGGTTAAGTAAGCAATTACGAACCGTGGATCCTCCGATCATCCATAGAAGTTTTCTCTTGCAATCAAACATGGCAGCATTTAAATAAATGCGGATGTTTCATGTCCATGTTTCATTACCGGAATGTAATCAATAAGCCTCAAAATATTTGTTGCTGAGGTAATCGGCCTATGGTTACTAGCCAGCCGTCAACCATCATTTTTCACATGTACATTGGGACTTTTTGGGTCTTAACAGTTGCTTCCGACTAAATTAAGGGACTCATCATGGGGCAATTGCTCATCTATCAAAAAAGTAACCGCGCTAAGAATCATCTATCAACAATCTAATTGGTGGGGCGAAATAGAACAAAATGGCCTACCAATAGTACCGCACAAGGCGGTGGCGGAAGTTTCAAAAATAGGAACCCTATAGGAGAGGTTGGTTGTTGTGAATCACGGATGGCAGAGCGAATCCACAGATGGACCGAAAGGTAGTTGGAGTTGTGATTTTTGGAATGGTTGCAATGGTTGCAGTGCTCACTCCACCACAACTGCTGGATGTAGTGTGGTGTAGTGCAGTTGTCATTGTAGCTGTAGTGCGGTGCATTGTAAGGTAGTGTAGTTGTAGTTGTAGTGTAGGGGAATTAGTGTAGTGTAGCGTAGCGTAGCGTAGTGTAGTGAGTGTAGTGTAGTGAAGTGTAGCGTAATTAGATGTAATTAGATGCAATTAGATGTAAACAGGTGTAAGTAGATGTAGTTTGGTGTAATTAGATGTAATTAGATGTAATTAGCTGTAATTAGATGTAATTAGATGTAATTAGATGTAATTTAGCGTAGTGCAGTGTAAGTAGTGCAGTGTAATGTATCGCAATACATTTGCATTTGTAGTTGTAGTAGTGGTGTAGTGTAGTTGTAGTGGTAGTTGGAGTTGTAGCTGCAGTCGTCTATCTATCTATCTATCTACCTATCTACCTATCTATCTATCTATCTATCTATCTGCAAGATTGAAAACAAGCTTGAAAACGAAGCTATTCTGCGAGACTTCATCAATTTCTTGAACTTGAAACCATCCAAAACGAAGCTATGCAGCTACAATCGCCGATCAACTGCGAATCAACCGTGATCCCAACTGTGTCAATCGCGGGAGGGTTCTCTCGTATGCAGCACTATTTTGCGCAGAGAATCGTCAAAACATTGCTACATATCACAGTATTTAGAGACATGGCGTGAGGCAGGGCCTACTCAGGCGGGTTTTAAATTGCGGATCAATCGCGAACCAATCGCGGATTTCATTGACATTTTGTTTAATTGAATTTTTCATCTGGGTTGTTAGTTGGACATTGAACTTTGTTGCTCTGATTCTTCTCTGCTATTTTCTATCACTATTGAACGCAGTGTCTAGGCAGGCCCGAATACAGTATAAGGCTGACATGTAACATGATTATCATGCCATATGCATATTAATATTGATTTCTCCTCGTACAATAGTCGATTCTTATACAACAAATGTTTGTCTCAATCGCGAACCAGGGTTTTACAATCACGGGTGCTGAAATACACATGCCCTCTCATAATTCTTAGACTTGCATTTACGATCGGTTCCCACATGACTACACCATGTGTTTCGACACAGCCAGCTGGATAGTGTTATTTAATGTTACCTATACATGTCATCTTCCCAATGATGTACAGTTATGGCCATTTACTAGTTATAACTGGATATATCTATGGGATAAAAAACATTCTATAAATGGGGTTTTCTTAGTACTTATAACTGGTATAACTTGGGGCTTAATTGTAACCACAAATTGTCAATTGATCGCCGTATTTCAGCTTTTTTAACCCTCGATGGATCGCCCACTCTGTTCAGTCAATGGTGAACTTTTTAAGGTGACTAACCCCAACTTACCCTCTGGTTATGACTAACATAGCTATAGACAATTACCATTTTTAATAGGTAAACCATCTATTTCTATGGGCCAACTTATACAATTAAGGGTCAAAATACCAGTTATAAGTACTAAGAAAACCCCATTTATAGAATGTATAATCCCATAGAACTAACCAGTTATAAATAATAAATGGCCATAACTCTATTAAAAAAAACACACATCTCCATATTTGATGGTTGCAACATGAACACATTTTTTCATGATTAGTTCCCGTTCGATCTTTTTGGGGGTTGCCACTTTTTTTGGGGCCCGAAATGCAAATTATAAGTCCGTGAAGTAACCAAATTTAAACCATAAAACCACATAAATACCACATAACCATAAACATGACCATTAAAGACTAGTATTTCGGGCCTTAATTCAGACACTTGCAGTTAAGGCTGGAACAACAGTTATAAATTGTTTTAAGTGGTTATAAATAGAGGTATACTTGCATAAATTCAAAATGGGTTTCAACTGACTTGTACAATGTGGCCCCCCCAGTTATAAGTTGGTTTATAATCCGCAGTAACTAGTTCGTTATAAGTACCACAAACTATAGTGAAATTGGAGTTATGTTCACCAACTTAGCTATCGTTTGGGGGCCCCATTTTGTAACTGGTATTTCGGGCCAGAACATGTTGGCGTTTCGTTCGCCCTGTTCGCCTTTTGCGCCCAGCCACCGTCCAGTCAGAGCATTCCACCGTGTCAGTGCTCGTGCCTTCCTGGGGTTCACGGTGATGTGGCAGGTCATTTACCAGTTATAAATGATTTTAACTGGCTACAGGATGGGGCCCCATACTTAGCTAAGTTGGTTTATAACTATAGTAACCACTCTACAGTGAAGGCCATTTACCAGTTATGATTATAATTGGCTAAAAACAGGGTTATAATTCCATTGGGGTTGAAATCTACTTATAACTGGTATTTCGGGCCATACCTGTAGTTACCCAAAAAAATGGCCATATAATGGATGTTGATGCCTTGCGTCCTATGGTAAAGGCTTAAAAGTTTTGACCCATCCCCCTGTGGTTTTCCAGGGAGTGCAACCATTGGTTGTTTGAAGAGGCTTCTTTTGAGCGCATACACATGCTAATGATGGTGATGATGGTGATGATGATGATGACGACGGTAATGATGATGGTAATGATGATGATAGTGATGATGGTGATGATGGTGATGATGGTGATGATCGTGGTGATTGTGATGACGGTGGCGATGACGATGGTGGAAAAAAATGATGACGATGACGATGACGATGACGATGACGATGATGATGATGACGGTGATGCTGATGATGATGATGATGATGGTGATGATGGCGATAACGACGGTTTTGATGATGATGATGATTATTATTATTATGATGATGATTTTGATGATGATGATGATGATGTTGTTGGTGGTGGTGATTATGCTGATGATAATGATGGTGGTGGTAACTATGATGATGATAATGATGTTATTGGTGGTGGTGGTGATTAAAATGACGATAATGATGATGGTGGCGGTGGTGATTGTAATGACGATGACGATGATGATGGTGATGCTGATGGTGGTGATGATGATGATGCTGCTGATGATGATGATGATGGTGGCGATGCTGATGGTGATGCTAAAGATGATGGTGATGAGGATAATGATGATGATGATGATGCTGATGGTGATGCTGATGATGGTGATGGTGATGATGCTGATGGTGATGGTGGTGGTGATGGTGGTGGTAATGCTGATGCTGGTGGTGTTGATGCCGATAATGATGATGATGATGATGACGGTGATGATGATGATGATGAAGAAGATGATGATGATGGTGCTGCTGCTGATGATGATAACGCTGATAGTGCTGATGATGAGGAAGATGTTGATGATGCTGATGGTGATGATGATGATGATGATGATGATGATGACAACGATGATGATAATGGTGATGGTGCTGATGATGGTGATGGTGATGGTGATGGTGATGATGATGATGTTGATGGTGGTGATTGCGCTCATGATGATGCTGTTGATGAAAATGATGATGGTGATGATGACGATTATGATAATGATGTAGCATCAACAAACAATTGGAAACAAGCCTTGACCAAATCATACCAAATCATGGGCGGAGTGACGAACCTGGTCTTTGAGGATCCCGGCTCCCAAACGAATGCATTGTTCAACGCGTTTTTTATCAATGATTTTAAAACCGACTTGCAAATATATTTGTGAATGAAATAATCTCTATGTAGGGGATTCCTGAAATTGGGGGTACCCCCAAAAATTAATTTTATTTCTGGATTTTCCATAAAATAAACCACCCAGCTAGTGGGGTACCATATATGGAACCCCCTATATTTACCTATCAACCAAAGTTCTTTTTAATGGCTCATGTGGCTTAGATGTTACGCCTATGGATCCACTTGTACCTTCTGAAAGGAAGTGGGACTGGGGTATAATTTTAGGGGTTTAGTAAATTTTCAGGAGGTGTTTGGATCCATAAGGTATAGTTATAAGTACCATTTAAACCATATTGGAGTTATGTTGACCAACTTGGAAGTGGGACTGGGATCTAATTTACTATAATTTGGAGGGTTAGCCGTACCTTCTCAGGTTTGCTGGCCATGGATCCATACAATGTGGTGCCCCCCGTGACGTGATGTGAACGTTGGTAAAAATAATCCCATGAAAACTATAGGTGTAACTACCATAAACCATAGTTATTCATAGTTATTGGAGTTATTAACCAACTATGTTTGTTGGCTTACAATCCCATGAAAACTAGTTAACTAGTTTGATATATCTACCATAAGCCCCAGTTATTAGAGTTGTAAACCAACTGAACGCTATCATAAACGAGGGCTCCACATTGTAGGGTGTATAACCACAACAATAACCACAACAATAACCACAACAATAACCACAACAATAACTTCTATTTCGGACCCCGAACATCCGAAACGCACCAAGCGCAGCTGCAGTGCCAAGCGGCTGTGACTTGACAAGACTTTCCACTGGTCTCATAGCACTTGCGGTGTGGCCTCTCTGAACATGGCCCGAGTCACAGCAGTTATTCCTTTACCAGTTATAAGTACTAACAAGGCCCCGTTTATAGAATGCGTAATCCCACAGAAATCACCATAACTAATAAATGGTCACTCTTAACAGTTTTACATGGGATTATTTCATGATGTAGAACCAACTAGTTATAGAAGTTATACCTTCATTTTCAACTGTTATTTAAAAAACTAAAGATCTTCATCCTACAGTTATGGACCGAAATACCAGTTATAAGCAAGTGAAATAAACCCATTTAGAACTGATAAATAGCCTTAACTGAAGGTGAAGCCAGAGGTGGTTAGCCCTTGATTTCACGCCGCCCTTTCCGTGTAAAACGGGTTGGGTTGGTTCGTTGGTCTCGAAGGATAAATACCTATAACCATTGAAAATTTATGGAATCATAACCCCATACGCAACCATCCATAATTGGTAAACGGCCTTTTTTCACTGCAGAAAGGTAAAGATCCCGACTCACTCTTTACGGTGCAACCTCAAATCCCACCAAATTTGAAACCAAACTCTCGAGTTTGCGCCGCGAACATCGAATTTGCAACACCAAATCCCACATATGCTGCATGGGTTGCAATCCAGATGTTTGAACCCGACATGTCAAATTCAGAGGTGTGACTTTTTTTGTGTGTGAAGTGTAGTTATGGCCCGAAATACCAGTTATAAGTTAGCAAAATAATCCCATTTATGGAATTATAAACAGATTTATGGACATTTATGATCATAAATATAACTCGTAAATGGCCTTAACTGTGGTAGCGACTTTTTTTGGCGCCTACTTTCTTGTTTTTGCTGATCGAAGTTGTTTTTGGCGACACAACACCCTCAGTATGATGGTAATGCAGGAAATCCGGTGGTACAGGCCGGGGGTGAAAGGGGTGCAATCACCTATGGGATTCTAACCTCAATAAGTTGGGATAGAATCTCTACAACAATTTACCCGCTGGTAAACTGCCACATAACTATGGAAAATCAGCATTTTTCATGGGAACATTCACTATAAATGTTATGAAAATATGGGTGGCTCATCCCACGGATGTGTAGGTTATAACCCTGTTTACAAATGGATTAAGCCTACTTATTCCACTAACAAAACAAGGGTTGTAACTAGCTAGATAACCTACTTACAATGTGGGGCCTCCAGTGATGTTTGTTGGTTTATGAATTCCAGTAACTGTAGTTACAGGTACAGTAAACCATAGTGAAATTGAAGTTATGTTCACCAATTTAGCTATGGTAAACGGAGGCCCCACTTTGTATCCGTGATGAGGCTTTCAACAGCCAAAGCCTCCGACAGTGTCTGTCTCAATGCCGAGAAGCCCCCCGGATGACACGCAAACCTCATGTGTGTCGCTTTTACGGCCAGATGGAAGATAGCAATCCCAGATCCATGTTTAAACACAAACCATGCAGTTATGGCCATGAAACAATTATATATGGATATATAACTCATTATAATTCCCACACCTAGGGTTATACATCATTATAGATGGGACAACAATATTGGGATTAAACATGTGATTTATACATGATTCTTTCCTGTGTTTTATATATGGCCAATGATGGGGTTATACATGGACATAAAACTCATTATAATAATTCCATTTATAACCCATATGCTCCATGGTGCTGGAATATCTACCAACATGTGCCCTAAAAATGTCCCAGTTTTGTAGGTAAATATACCAGCACCATGGTTCGCATATGGGTACCATCTGGTTATGACTAACATAGCCATGGAAAGATCCACCCATTTTTAAGTTCGGTAAACCATCTATTTCTATGGGCCATCTATACCATGGCTAACTGTTAAATAACCAGAGGGTAACTGGTTCGTAACGTGCTGTTTTAGCTGTGGGGTGTGTCTAGTTGTCCACCCTACTGTTTCAGGAGTTGGGGTTGGTAACCGGCTTGATTCAGGAGTTGGGGTGCTTGATAACTGTTAGTTTGGCCAAAAAACTGTGATTTCACACTTAGTTTGGCCTCCGGGTCATCTCCCTAGAGGTGACCCGAAGCTTCGGAAGCTTCATGGCTACGACGCAACGGAATTTGTGAACGTTGGTGTTAAAAGCCCAGTAACTACAATGTGGGCCCCCCTTTATGATAGCTAAGTAGGTTTGAAACCATAGAACAATAGGGATAGAAAACCAAGACAATTTGGGAATTTAATGGGATTAAAAGCTGATTCTTGATAGCTAAGTTGGGACGAACATCACTCCAATAACTATATATGGTTTATGGTACGCAAACAACGATCTAGTTACTGAGGCGAATCAAAACCAACTGATGGGGCTCACATTGTAGTTCGTAATTTGCATACCACAATCATACAATGTGAGGCCCCCAAGATATAAGTTGGTTTAAAATCTCACTAACTATAGATATATCTACCATAAGTCCTAGTGAAATTAGAGTTATGTTCACCAACTTAGCTATCTTGGGGGCCCCACTTTGTAGTGAAATTGGAGTTTAGTTAATCCCCCCAACTTAGCGATTTTGGAGGGATTTCGTGGCCTTAGTTAGCCCCACCTTGTATCAACCACCAGGGCTGAGCCAAGGCAGCCAAGGTGGGGACCAGCTAAAGCAAGCAGGTAAAGCCCGAAATACCACTGGTAAATGGTTAAAACTGTTATTTCATGTTATTTCGATGGGGTTCTCATGAACCATACATGGGGTGACTTCCTGACTTAACTGGTAGAGCCATAAACCCTGGAATTCGCCGAGTTCTTTCATCTCCACCAACATCTCAACCACAAATCAGCGAAACGAATTTCAACAAATCCAGAAATCAATCTTAAGAATCGGCATGTCTCCCATTTTCCCCATGAATTTTCCCATGCTTTTCCCAAGCGTTTTTCAAACCGACCCCGGGATCTTTGTCCAGGCCCCCATCGGCCAGGCTGCATACTTCGGGCAGAGCTGGGCGGGCATGGCCTGAGAAATCTTGGAATTGGAGCCTATAGCAGTGGAGTGCGGCCCATTGATCAATGGGAATTTCAGGATCCTAATTTGGAGGTACACACCATATATAAGGCCTATGTAAGGGAATATCCCAACAAAATATGGTCTTATATGGTAGGGTACCTCCACTTTAGGATCTTGAAATTCCCATTGAATTGATGTGAACGTTGGTGGCACTAATCTCCAGTAATTCTAGTTATAGGATGGAAAAAAAGTACCAGAAACCATCGGGAAATTGGAGTTGTGTGAACCCCAACTTAGCGATTTCGTTTGGGGGCCCCACTTTGTATGGCCATTAACATAAATGGACATTAAATTCATCAAACAAATCCTATAATTAGTTGGTTATATATCATTAGAATCCTATTTATACCCAGGGCATACTGGGAGTATAATCAATGGGAATTTCAGGATCTTAAACTGGAGGTACCGTACCATATGAGACCCTATTTTGTGGGGATATTCCCTGAAATTTAGGCTTAAAACATAGGCCAAACATATATGGTAGGTACCTCCAATAAATCGGTTCCGGAAATATACAGTCATGGCCATGGCTATTACGTAGTTATAACTTGTTATTTCTATGGGATTATACATTCTATTTTGATGGGGTTTTCTAAGTACTTATAACTTGGTGGCTCATCCCACTTAGTAAGTGGGTTATAACCCCAGTTACAAATGGGATAAGTAGGGTTCATCCACTTAGAACTGGGGTTATAACCCACTTACTAAGTGGGCTGAGCCACCAAGAAGGGCCTTAAGTGTAATGCTTCATCAACCTGTGGAATCTCGGCAGTCGAGAGCCTTTGGTCATCTGAAGTATCCAGGTATCATGAGATACGTACATAAATTGTCGGGCCCGTTTGCGATAGAACCTATGAATGGGTTAGAAACCAAAGAAAAATATGGATTCAACCAAGCTGTTGGGCATTTAATGGGATTTACAGCTGATTGTTGATAGCTAATGGTACTTACAACTATAGTTACTGGGGTTTATAAACCAACGTTCAGATGACTGGGTGACCCACATTGTGAAATACCAGTTACTGTTATGGCCCGAAATACCAGTATATACCAGTTAGAAGTCAACCCCATTTGTGGGATTCTAAGCGGTATACTCACTTAGAACTTGGCGGAAACATAACCTTACATATTACATAGCCATTGAAATCCCTCTTTGAGCAGTGTTCAAAACCATCGGTCGTCCCTTTATTATTAGGATTCCCATAATGGAATATGATAATTCCCCAGTAACTTGGGTAGTATGATTCCATATAATCGTCGACCGTGATTTTGAACAGCTTCCATTTCATTTCTGGTTTCTTGACCCCTGTTGACCCAACCTCTACAGTTGTGGCCCAAAATACCAGTTCTGAACCAGTGAAAGAAAACATAGTCTATGGAATGAGAAGACCATTTGCACCCATAAAAATAGTTGGAATTTCTGGCCAAAACTGTACAGTTATGGCCAATAAACTGTACATCATTAAAATTCCATTTATAACTGTTAATGGCCACAACTGTAGGGCTATTTTCGAAAAAAAAAACAAACCCAGTGGCAGTAAAGCAGGCACTCTTCTGGTCCACGACTTCCTCGGCAACCTAGAAGCCAGTGTGCAAGTCTGGAGATATCTTGCAGTGAAAACCCTAGAAACCAGTTGTGATTAGACATAAGGTTATCATTTCATAAATGTTGGCGCATGGAAACATGTTCGAGTGCCAAATGACAAGATGTCTTTGACTTATATAGAGGTTTCCTAAAATAGAGGTACCCCCAAATCATCCATTGATGGATTTTCCATTACAAAGCACCCATTTTGGGCTACCCATACAATGTGGTGCCCCCAAGATAGCTAAGTTGGTTTATAACTCTCATAACTAGGATTTATGGTAGATATATCGAACTAGTCAATGGGATTATAAACCAACGTTCACATAACTGGGGGGCACCACCTTGTATTTATTGAAACCCCCATAATATGAATCTATTGAAAACTACAAGGGCATCGTAGGGACATCCCCACAGCCCCTCCAAGCCGCTCATCGATAAGCTGGATTTTTCAGCCGTTTTTCCCGATGGATATTGGCATTAGCTTCCCTTAACACTGTGCTCTATCAATATTCATATGGGGGGTTTCCATTTCATGGCAGTACTCGTAAAGGGATGGTTCTTATACAGGAAATCCATCTATAAAAGGATGATTCAGATGATTCAGAGGTACCCTAATATTTCAGGAAACCTCCATATTCTTGAAGTCGTGGTTCATTGGGTCATGATCATGAATCATGATGTCATGGTCAGACACGTCAATCGTACTGAGATGGAAACAGTTGGTCACTTCCAAGATGAAAGGAACGAGGTTGTTTTGGGAAAAACGGAGAGGTTGATTCAGTCATGTGGGTAAAAAAATTATAAAGCATCCCCCAGTCATCACCATTTTTATAGGTGGTCTGTTTACCATTCCCAGTCATGGATGGTTAAAATGGCATTGTTTTACTCACATTACATCATTCGGGTTTCTCTCATACGAGATGCCCCCTCCTCAGCATGTGGCGAACATTGTGTCCAAACCCTGCAGTTATGGCCATTTATTAGTTATCACTGGTTATTTCTATGGGATAATCCATTCTATAATGGTTTTTCTCAGTACTTAAAACTGGTATAACTCGGGCCTTAACTGTGGGGATGAAATTTGTTTCCAATTTTGACAAGATGATGCCCCGTTTTCACCATAGCGTTATAAACCCCGGAATCCCTCTAGGACTCTAGGATGTCCAATTCAGTTTTTTTTTTCCGATTTTAATATGGTTTTTGATACGATTGGAAGATATGAATCTGTTGGGATATGGCATATTGTTTAGATATGGTTTCAGAATGTTTTGGATGTGATTTTTACATGGTTTTGATAAGGTTTGGGAACGGAGCGCCTTTTTCAGGGTTCCCGACGGGTTGGCTTCAAGAAAGGAAACAGAAACAGTGCCGGGACAGCCTTTTGGTCGATGTCTCGATTGCTTTTGTGGTTTTGAAATGATTTTGATACAATTTTGATACGATTTTGATATGGTTTTGATACAATTTGGATATGGTTCCGATGGGTTGGCTTCAAATCACGGTTTTGACCCACATCAAGAATCAAAACTGAAACCATATCAAGATCATATCTGAAACCGTATCAACATCATAGTTGCGGAACAATTAATAACGACAAATCATATCTGAAACGTATGAAAAACATTAAACAAACAAACAACTTTTGAAAAACCTTCATCCTAGAGACTTCGGATGTTATAACGGTAGCGAGTTGTTTCTACAAATAAGTTGGTTGATTCTATGGTTGATGAGAGGGATATAGCATGATGTATTATTTAGAGTTAATGCGTTTTTTAAACCAACATGATTGGAGGGTCTCACCTAGTTCTATGTTATCATCATTGATTTGGCTCAAAGAATCGGGGTGTCCAGAGACCTGCACATTTGGTCATTTGAAGCGGAAAGCGATCCCCCCCCCAAAAAAAAATTGGGTTGACTAATATTGAGCATGATTGAGCCATGTTGTTCACCCAGTATAAGCATCAATTCTATGTCCCCCCAAGAAGTGTTCACAGGGATGAAATCATCACTTTCAAGGATGGTCATTCCGTTCTCATGTATTTTTGGGTGGGAACAGATTGGTCGTGTAGTGCCTACACAGACCACTTAAACATTCCCAAATTTACCGGGAATGGGTTTGTCAACGGTTTGTCATTTTACCGTCCCCAAATGGAGTGCCAAAACCCTTGACAACTTGGCATGGTGTTTGATATCATCCCCTTTGATCGGATGTAGATGTGGCAACAAATAGGCCGTGAATCATGGCGCCATGTAACCATGTATACCAATTAGGGTTACTGTGTGTTACGTTAGTAAAATGATAAATCTTCTGTCCGTATGCTACACTGTGGACGACATAACACTGGAGGTTGACCGGGAAACACCAAGAACTTCCGACAAATTGGTTGAGTCCATGAAGACAATGATTCTTGATTGCATGTGTTTGTTTGAGAAAAACTAAGGTAAGTTCACGCAGTTGTAAATGTACCCCATATGTATAGTTAATGGTTGTTCATCCGGATGCACATCCAAAGAATCTTGGTTACAACCTCAGGGGACTTGTTTATGAAAGTCCATGACCAATTTGTATTTTGCCCGGTATCCCAAATTGCAAGTTAAGATCCACACAGGATCCACATAATGACATAATAATATATATTTTAGAGTAGCCGTCAAAATTGATCACTGCTACAAAGTGCAGCCCCCAAACGATAGCTAAGTTGATGAACATAACTCCAATAACTATACAGTTAAGGCCCGAAATACCAGTTATAAGTACTAAGAAAACCTCATTTATAGAATGTTTTTTTTATCCCATAGAAATATCCATTTATGATTATAACTAATAGCCATGGCCATAACTGTATGGTTTATGGTACGCAAATAACATCTTGAAACTAGAGTATAATTCCTGGGGTGAGTCCAAACCAATACACACAAATCGGGGGCCGAAAAATATTGCGAGTTTTTGCACGTGTCCATGTTTTCCAAAAATCCTGGGCGCCTGGGCCAATTCTGCGTTGTTGCTGCTCATCAAGCCTTCCTTGGCCGCAACTGGCGAAAAAAACATCTGGAGATTTCCATAGGGGGATCATGAAAATGGAGGGTTTGCCATGGAAAATCCTACAGTTATGGCCATATATTAGTGATAACTGGTTATAAATGGGATTATATATTCTATAAATGGGGTTATAAGTACTTATGACTGGTATTTCGGGCCTTAACTGTAGTAATAGTGGATGATTTGGGGTTACTACCATTAAAAAGAGAACCCCCCATATAAATATGGGAAGACTATTAGGATTCGGGATTTGTAGAGATTTCACATGGATTTAGGGGGAGAACTAGATTTTGCCTAGAGAGTTTCACAGGTATCTATGGGAAATACTGTGGATGGAAGAAATCCTGCACCACTTAATAGGTTGTTTATCCCATTATTTATAGCCTTTCTACCATCCCAGGTAGTACCAGGTAGTGCAGGATTTCTTCCATCCACAGTATGTTCATCTGGGGACAAAATCTTGGGATCCCGTTCAACCGCCTGGCAAACATTCGAAAAAAAAATGCTGTGAAAAATGGTGACCTTCCACAGCCATCTACATCTATCAGGTTACTCAAGAATCGCTTCTCCGGAGATCATTTCTACCAGCCCTTGGGTTTCCTAAATGGTGGCTCATTCCACTTGTCGTAAGTGGGTTATAACCCCAGTTATAAATGGGACAAGTAGGGTTAATCCACTTATAACTGGGGTGAACTAACCTACTTACAATTCGCGGGTAGTTCGCCACCAAGTACTTGGGTGGATCCCAGATTTATGGATGGTGAAAATTTCATGATTTACGGGTAGCCCCATTTTACAAGGTGGTGCCTCCCAGATGTAAGTTGGTTTGCAATCCCACCAACTATATAGATATATCATGATATATCTACCATAAGTCCTAGTGAAACTAGAGTTATGTGGCCCCCAACTGAACGCTATCGACCTGGGGCACCACATTTTAGGACACCCCCCGGGTCTGAAGCCTCACCTTGAAATTTCTGAAGAAACATCTCTGGTTCGCCATCTTGGTCCTGGTCATCCTTATCCTCTAGGGACAACCCATACAGGGAAACCCCAAACGTGGGGCCCTGAGCCATGTTCGTTGGTTTTTCTCAACCCAGTAACTAGTTCGTTATGTGCGTACCATAAGCATCCATAAACCATACAGTTATGGCCATTTATTAGTGATAACTGGCTATAAATGGGATTATACATTCTATAAATGGGGTTTTCTTAGTACTTATAACTGGTATTTCGGGCCTTAACTGTAGTGAAATTGGAGTTATGTGGCCCCAACTGAACGCTATCATAAATCAGTTATGGCTTTAAATCCCATGAAATCACCATCGTTTTTTCTCCTCGAAGAGTCTTCTGTCAATGCTATGGCGGCTATGGAATATAATTTCCAGGCCATGGTTTATGGTGATTTAACTGATGACACCATGGGATATATCCACGACATGGCCTGTTTTTTGCTGGCTTTGTGGCTTTGTATACGCTGTCCGGAGCACATGGTTGCCTTCCCATGGGCTCCATGTATTACTTCATAATGTGTTTAATTTGCATCATGCGTAAAGTTATTGTAGGGTAAAAAGTAATATGTCATACGTGAAGCATTGCAGTTATGGCCCGAAATACCAGTTTGAAGTCAGCGGAATAATCCCATTTATGCAATGATAACAACATTTAGAACCATAGAAATAACTGGTAAATATCCATATAAATCCCACTAAACCCATATTCTTATCACATACTGTATCACATGTCCATAGTGTCCCTAAAAGTCATGGCTGTATCCCGGTTCTATCACCATAAATCAACCATACACTTGGATTCGCTTAAGGAAACGCAAGGAAGTAACACATATTCCTCTTTCGATTTCCCATTTCTAGTGGATTTTCCTGGAAAAGAAGCCAAATCATTGACAAAGGCAATTGCACATTAGATCCCATTACCAAGACATTCCCACAGCCAAAAATGGAGGTTTCTTGAAATGGGGGTACCCGCAGTTATTATCCATTTAAAATAGAATTTTCCATGAAATAAACCATCCAATGCTCACTTGGGGTACCCTCATTTATCGAAACCTCCATGAATCCCTACAGTTAAGGCCCGTTACGTTATACCAGTTATACGTACTTAGAAAACCCCAAAATAGAATGCTGTATAGTCCCATAGATCCCATTTATATAATAAATGGATATAAAAGGGATAAAAAAAAACAAAACATTCTATAAATTGATGGGGTTTTCTAAGTACTTATAACTGGTATAACGTAACGGGCCTTATAACGTAACCAGTATCTTTTTCTAGCTCAACCATCAGCAAAAAGGGCTCGTCCCAACGGCGACCGGTGGAAGGGTTAGTGACAAACCCCAGCTTTTTGATTTTTTTTTGTGGGTAGAACAATGCCATTAATAGTGGGATTAATAGTGATTAATAGTGGTTCATAGTGATTAATAGTGATTAATAGTGATGAATAGTGGTTCATAGTGATTAATAGTGATTAATAGTGATTTATAAATTGTTTTATAGTGATTAAGAGTGATTAATAGTGATTAATAGTGATTAATAATGATTAATAGTGATTAATAGTGATTAATAGTGATTCATAGTGATTAATAGTGGTTCATAGTGATTAATAGTGGTTCATAGTGATTAATAGTGATTAATAGTGATTAATAGTGATTAATAGTGATTAATAGTGATTAATAGTGTTTAATAGTGGTTCATAGTGATTAATAGTGATTAATAGTGATTAATAGTGATTAATAGTGACTAATTGTGATTAAAACAGTGATTCATAGTGGTTAATAGTGATTATTTTTTTACCTGATTGATGTGGGTAAAACAGTGCCATAATCCATCCCCCAGTCATCACCATTTTTATAGGTGGCATGTTTACCATTCCCAGTCATGTGTGGTTTATGGCATTGTTTTACCCACATTAACCCGCTCCTCCCATGTAAATCACTAAGGTTATAAGCCACAACCACGAGCCGTGGAATGAGCCACCAAAGTACTATGTGGGGCCCCCCCAGTGATGTTTGTTGGTTTATAATCTCCAGTAACTAGTTCACTATAAGTAGCATAAACCAGAGTTATTGGAGTTATTAAGCAACTTAGCTATCGTAAACGGGGGCCCCACTTCGTACCATCTTCGAAACACTCGGCATCTTTTTGGGGGTTGCTGTAATGGGGATATGATATATCAAAACATGGGGATATCGTAAGCGGGGGCCCCACGTATTGTAGAAATCAACAAATTTCAAAGGCCCTGGGGCCCAATGCCGAGCGTCCAAGGTCACTTGATTCGAAGCCTTTCCGTCAAAGGTATCCGCACCTAGGTGGCTAGGTGGCTCAGTGCGACCTGTGACGAACTAGCCACGGATCCTAGGTAGGTTATAACCCTATAGTATCCTATAGTTACAAAGGGGATAAGGAGCGGCTTAATTATGCTTAATTCGCTTAATTCTACTTATAACTGGGGTGAACGAAGCTACAGTTAAGGCCCGAGTTATACCAGTTATATGTACTAAGAAAACGCCATTTATAGAATGTATAATCCCATTGATAACCAGTTATAACTAATAAATGGCCATTACTGTACCCTCTGGTAAACTAACAGTTCGCTATTGAAAATTGCCATGGAAATAGTTAATTTACCCATTAATAGCATGGTGGTTTTCCATAGTTATGTTAGTTTACCAGAGGGTATCTCATGTCATTTCATGACTTGTCATGTCATGCTGTGCCATTGCCATTTCAGCAATTTCATTCATTGAAACTTGAAACATACATTGATTCATTCACTGATTGATTCACTCATCCATTCATGTCATTAATTGATGTTGTATCATTTTAACAATGTCACTTATTTCGTGTATGTCATTTATTTCATGTGATTTCAGTTCAGTCCATATCACATCACTTCATATCACTTCATTTCATGCCATTGACGTCATGAATATTTCATCCATTTAAAAGACAAAGTCATTCTCGTTTGATTCGCTCCTTCATCCATCCATCCATCCATGCATGCAGGCATTCATTCCTTCATTCGTTCATTCCATCATTGACCCATTCATCTGTTTCCTTCCTTGGATCATTCAATTTCTTGATGCATCTCATGCCGAAGGTTCATTTCTTGCAACGTGCGTTCCTAGTGCGGACTCGTTTCCCGGAACTTGCCGGAACCAGCGCGGCTGGGCAGAAAATGCTGAAATCAGGCGAATTTAGGGGACAAATCAAGAAGCAATCATGCGTACAGTTATGGCCATGGCTATTAGTTATAACTGGTTATAAATGGGATAAAAAACATTCTATAAATGGGGTTTTCTTAGTACTTATAACTGGTATTTCGGGCCTTAACTGTAGTGATGCCAGTGAAATCGTGAAAGAATTCATTCAGAACTCGCGATGTCAGGCTCCTGTGTCCCATGAAAATGGAACAACGGAACAACCTCAACGACTCAAAACAACCATGCTTTACCCCAAATACCAGAGACCAGAATTGCTTAACCTGTGAAACCACAATTTTCCACGGATGATTTGTCTGGCAGCCAATATATGAATGTGTATATATATATACATACATATACCCACATACATATGTTTCTATATGTATATGTAAGTGCATATGTAAGTGTATATGTAATGTGTATGTACATGTATATGTACATGTATCTTGTACATGTATCTTGTATCTGTATTTGTATTTATACATATATATATACATATGTAAACGTATGTGTATATATGATTATATATATATGAATGTGTGTCACCATTTTAGGGTAAGTAGGCAAACCCCAGATTTCCTCTTGGTTTCCATATGTTCTGGCGGGTAAATCCGAAGTTGCGTAACTCCCTGTTTCAAGGTGGGTGTCCCCCAAAAAAGATCCTACCTGAATAGTGATAAAACTGACATTTCAATCTGTATATAAAATTTTAATGTTACACTTTTTCTTGACCACCATTTTTTTGGTTGCCGCTATAACACCTTGGATTTGCCACCCGAAAAATCAGCAACTCCACAGTCATGGCCCGAGTCATACCAGTTATTTCAGTCAGTGATAAGTCACCCCATTTATGGTTCATGATAACCCCGTAGAAATAATAATTGAAAACGAAAAAAACTGACTAATACTTTTTGGGCCTGGACTGCCTTAACTCTATGGTTTGTGGGATGTTTTAGTAGATACATCCAGGGTTCGCCAGGGGTTGCTAAAACATTCACACAGTTACGGCCCGAAATACCAGTTATAAGTCAGTTATAACCCCATTTTGTGGAATCATAACCCCATGTATGGCCATTTATAATGATTGACAACTGGTCTTTCCGGCCTTAATTGCAAACATATTGGCCCACCTTTCATACCAAGCCATGTCACAGTAATCAGTGCCTGCCTGAAAGGGCCACCAACAAGTGCTCTCAAAAACCTTGGCCAGTGCCGTCCAAATTCGATGGTTGGTACCTCCATGTTAGGATCCTGGAATTCATGCGATTTTTCATGGGATATTGCTACACCCCCTCAGTTTATGTTGCTTTGAATTAATTTTATGTCCTAAATGGTAAAAATAGAGGGGCCGGGAGCTGGTTAATCCCATCTATCATCAAACAAACCTGTTGTTAAAGGGGTAAACCTCCAGACCCCTCTTTTTCATCAACCAACCAATGGGAAAAGGACATCTACAGTTTATGGCCATGGCTATTAATGAACTAACTGGTTATTTAACATTATTTAACTCTGGGATTTAAAAAATTCTATCTATAAATGGGCTTTTCTTAGTACTTATAACTGGTATAAGTCGATGTATAACTCGGGCCTTAACGACCATAAATCAACTGCCGGCCTCACCTAAGATGGTCCCACACTTAGTGAATCCCACAAGGTGGTGCCCCCCAAACGTGATGTGAACGTTGGTTTATAATCCCATGAAAACTATAGTTGTAAGTACCATAAACCATAGTTATTCATAGTTATTTGAGTTAGTAACCAACTATGTTTGTTGGTTTATAATCCCATGAAGACTAGTTCGAGACATATCTACCATAAGTCCTAGTGAACATTGAGTTATGTGAACCCCAACTTAGCTATCGACCGGTGGCACCACATTGCAAGTTTTGACCAGCATATACAGCGGAACACACGGTCAAAGAATACGTGTCGACAAAAAAACATAAAGACAAACATAGTTTGCGAACACAATCGGAAAACAATCTGATTATCTGATTCTGTATGAATTTGTCCTATGGATGGGATATCAGGGATATGGGATATAAACTAAAAAAGTCCTGGTTTTACGGTTTTACCAACCAAAATCCTAGGTGGGTATCACCCACTAACGGCGACACACAAGGTGAGGTCCCGTAAACGAAAGGGAACTGTTGGTGATAAACTGATGAGTTCTATGTTTGCTGCATGGGGGATGTCCCCGAATATGAATATGGACACTTCAAACATCTTCATTCCAATGAGATGACTTTTTGAACATTACCATCTGTTTATATACATATCTACTTCAGGATGACTCTAACTATAATCTTGCCATTTTTATATTCAGGGATAATTCTCTAACTTCCCCATGTTTTGTTGGTTCATTACCCCCATGAGAGTAGGGGCCTCACCGTGCACAACCTTGGCGCAATAAAATCATGTCTGCATCCGATGTCGACCTCAAACGACCTCAAAAACGACCATTGAAAAATAGAGTTGTGGCCCTTTACCAGTTGTGAGATATGGGCTGAATGGGATTTATAATGCATGATTATACGGATATTTACCGATTTACCACGTATTTCTATGGTTATAAATGTGGTGATTATTCGATACATGAGATTATATAACTGACTTATAACTTGTAAAGGGCCATAACTGTAGGGGGATCACTCCTCATAGGGTAGAACATGATGATAAGCTCTTGAATTTACCCTCCGGTGTCATCAAACGTGGCTTGCTGGAAAATTCACCATTCACTTCGATGATTTTCCCAACGATACACTTTTCACATGCCCATTTATCAGGGATTTTCCAGCAAGCCATGTTTGATGACACCAGAGGGTAATGCTGTTTTTCTTCCCAACACTATCAGCATGAATGAAAAACTCCTGAGATCGTTGATAGTATTGAAAATGAACACCAACATTCATGAATGAAAAACAGTACTATCATCACCAGAGGGTAATGCTGTTTCTCTTCCCAACCTATGAATGAAACAGAATCAGTTTCCCACCGAGCATCTTGGTTGTTGAACTGTTCATAGGTACAACTCCTGAGATCGTCCCGGCTGCTGCTGCCATGTGTGGATTGTGGGTGGTTACTGCCTGTCTTAAATGACTTACTGGTGCTAAACGTACAGTTAAGGCCCTTTACCAGTTATAAGTACTAAGAAAACCCCATTTATAGAATGTTCTTTATCCCATTTATGACCAGTTATAACTAATAAATGGCCATAACTGTAGGGAATGGATGGGTTGCTGGGGGTTGCTGGGATGATTATTGATAGTTCGCCAGTGGATCATTCCCGAAAATTCCCTACGTTTAGCACAAGTAAAATGATTTCATATTATAAATATCTACAATACGTGGGGCCCCCGTGAAATCGATGGCTAAGTTGGGGCTCACATAACTCCAATTTCACGAACTGGTTTATGGATGTTTATGGTACTTAAAACTACAGTTAGTGGGGTTGATAAACCAACTTAGAACTCGGGGGCCCCACATTGTATCAATCATAGGGAAGTTTTTTAAACCATTGGATTGAAGAGGTCTGAAGAGGGTTCCCATTCTTTAGACAATCTGATGTTGGTCGATTTGCTCTACCAGGATTTCTTACAGTGGTAGTTTTCAAACCATTTGAATAACACAAGACCACACATTTCAGGCCTTTTACCAGTTATAAGTACGTATAGAATGTATATATTATCCCATAGAAATAACATGAAATAACCATCATCAATCACTATTAGCCATTATTAACCACTATAAATCACTACTAATCACCATAGAAATAACCAGTTAGTTCGCTAAAAACGCCATGGCCATATAACTCCACCCTTTTTTCACGTCGTGAAAAAATCTGTCGACTCGATCGACTTCCAGAAATTTTTGGGCCAAGTAGTGGGCCCCCGTTTACGAAATCGCTAAGTTGGGGTTCACATAAGCCTCAATAACTATAGTTTATGGTACGCAAATAACTAGAGTGAAACTAGGGATTACTAGGGGGCCATAACTAGTTCGTTATAAGATGTTATAAGTACCATAAACCATAGTGAAATTGGAGTTATAAACCAACTTAGCTATCGTTTGGGGGCCCCACATTGTAGCAATTTTACTATGATTTATGGTTCTTATAACGAACTGGTTACTGGCGATTTTAACTTAACGTATAACTAGGGGGGCCACATTGTATAGGGTTTATGACCACTTGGGGGGGTGGCCTGCTTCTACCCATCTGATCTCATGTTTGGTCAGACTTTTCAAGCCACAAGTCTTTGATTAAAAACGCACTTTCCCTCTGAACACTCCGCGTGATCCCCGAATCTAAACATCCTGACAATTCGTCTGACATGAATTCTGACATACGCTGCGACATGGATCCTTATATATTATTCTGACATACAGTCACACATTTATCTTTGCATAGACCTTGTGACATTAAAAACATATTTTGACTTACATTCGGGCAACTATTCTAACATCAACTTTGATGCAAAGTTCCATCTTGGATCTGGCGAATTTCATGCGACACATATTTGACATACGAGTATGTTCTGACATCAACTCGGACATGTAGTCTGACAATTGATATGGCATGTTTTTTCAATTTTCACGTGTTACATATTTTCTGACCATTTGACATTTGCACTGGAAACTTTCATGTGACATCTTTTGACATGTGCTCAGACTGCTCAGACACATTTAATATATTTTTTTTCAAAGAAACAGCCTGACAGCAACCATCACATTTAGTCTGACGATTTCCTGGGCCACAGTTATGTTCACCAAACCATAGCTTATTCTTATTTTTTAAAACTTGAAAAAAAACGCGAAAAATGCAAAAAAAAAATGGAAAACACAAAAAGCAAATCAGCAAAATCCAAAAAACACAAAAGCAAAATAAAAGGGGAAAAAAGGAAACAAAAAGGAAAGACAAAAAGGGGAAAACATGGGGAAAAAAAGGACTTGTCCATTTGCATTTTTGTTGTTTTTTTTTGCTTTTTCGATTTTTTTTTTTTTTTTTTTTTTTTTTTTTTTTTTTTTTTTTTTTTTTTTTTTTTTTTGCTGGAAAAAAGCCAAAAAAAACAAAAAAAAAGCAAAACAAAAGCAAATCGAAAAAAAAAATGCAAATGGACAAGTCCTTGTTTTTTTCCCATTTTTTCCCCTTTTTGACGTTCCTTTTTTTTCCCATTTATTTTGCTTCCTGTTTTTTTCGGTTTTGAAGTTTTGCTTTTTGATTTTCCATGTGTTTTCCTTTTTTTTTGTTTTTTTTTCAAGTTTAAAAAACATTAGAATAAGCTATAGAGGTGGACATAAGGCCACAGGTTACGTTCAGATCTATCTGCAGACTTCTGGCAGACTGCGACAAGTGGGGACCTCACAGATCTATAGGATGATTTTCCAGTCATGGTACAATGTGAGCCCCCCAGTGATGTGAACGTTGGTTTTATAATCCCCAGTAAGTAGTTCGTTGATCTAGGGGGCATCACTTTGTACAGGATGATCAAAATGATGTGTTTTTTTGCATTGCTTTACCCTCTGGTTATTTAACGTAGCTATCGGAAATCACCATTTTTAAAAAGTAAATCATCATAAGTCATGTATAACTGGGCCATTTTCCATAGCTACGTTAAATAACCAAAGGGTACACAATTTTTCAACAAGGTCTGATTAGCAAAGGGACATCAACAATTCCTCGCTTTCCTGCGGTTTACACAAAGTGGGGACCCCATTTACCAGGGGTAAGTAGGTGAGCATAACTCCAATAACTATAGTTTATGGTACTTATAACTATTGTTAGTAGGGATTACTAGGGTTTATAAACAAATTCATACCTGGGGGGCCCCGCATTGTAATCATTGGATTGGATTGAGGTAACATTGAGAGAACATTGAAACCGAAAGGTGCGATGAAGGTAAAAACATGTGGAAAATGGTTGAAATGTCGATCCATGACATGGCCAACAGGTGGAAAACCATATGGAATTACTTTACTTCGAGTTATCCCCACCATGACATTTATACATTTTGTTACTGGCAAATCTTCTGGCATTCTATCTGACATACCTTCTGGCATTTTATCTGGCATATCTTCTGGCATTCTATCTGGCATATCTTCTGGCATTCTATCTGGCATATCTTCTGGCATTCTATCTGACATTCTATCTGGCATATCTTCTGTCATTCTATCTAGCCGTTGAGGTCCAGCGGTGCACACTGAGCTGGGAAGGTCCACCGCTGCACACTGAGCTGGGAAGGTCCCAGGTTGAGGTCCACCGGTGCACACTGAGCTCGGAAGGTCCCAGGTTGAGGTCCAGCGGTGCACACTGAGCTGGGAAGGTCCCAGGTTGAGGTCCAGCGGTGCACACTGAGCTGGGAAGGTCCCAGGTTGAGGTCCAGCGGTGCACACTGAGCTGGGAAGGTCCCAGGTTGAGGTCCAGCGGTGCACATTGAGCTGGGAAGCTCCCAGGTTGAGGTCCAGCAGTGCGCACTGAGCTGGGAAGTTGGCGAAGAGCTTGGCGAAGAGTTGGCAAGGCGGAAGTTAGGTGGAAGTTGATGCAGACATGGTCGAGGAGAAACTAGAGGAGGAGGCGGAGGAGGAGGAGGAGGACAGCTAGCCGAGGAGGAGAAGAACAACTCTGATAAAATCTAACAACCCTCACCTGGCAGGTGGGGAAAAACATAATTCTGAAGAAAAAAAAATGCTCCAACCCCCTGATTACGCAGGAAACATCAATTATGGAAAATCCTGAGCCCCTCCAAGAATTATGGGGTGAAAAAAGGTTCAGATCACATCCGGGAAATTTTGAGCCGTGAAGAGGAAAACCTAATTATGGGAAAAACCTACTTGGTGGCTCATCCCACTTAGTAAGTGGGTTATAACCCCAGTTATAAATGGGAATCGTTCACATTTTCAAGAAAATTATGGGTTAACCTGAATAAATGTCATTTAACATTATGTTTCTAAATAACCTGAGTTAAGTGAAATAATCTGAAATAACATGTTCGTTGATTTGAGGTTTCCAACTTAAATCAATATTTCACTAACCTGAATAAAGGCCACTTGGGTATGATTCCCCTTACTAACCGTTTTTTTTCTCGTGAGGTTGCATTGAGGTTGTTATAATTTATCCAGATTTCATGAAACGGAGAGAATCAAAGAGCCCAAGCGGCACGCCGACCACCCGTGGGAGGGGACGTCGGAAGCATATGTTGTAAGGCTTCCACAATTCCAGACTCCCAAAAATACTTGGTGGCTCACTACCCACGGATCGTAAGTGGGTTAGTTCACCACAATTATAAGTGGATTCACCGGCTCCTTATCCCATGTAAATCACTGGGGTTATAATCCACTTACGATTCGTGGGTAGTTCGCCGCCAAGTAGGAAGAAGGAAGCATTTGTTGATCAAGCTCATCCCTAAGAACCCCTGCAGGATCCTGCCAAACTCCATGCGCCCACATCCCATGCTTACCTCCTCCCACCGTTCGACGATGGCCTGTGTTCGACACACCTTACAGTCTCTCCCCAAACGAAGCGTGAACTTCCCACCTCTTCGACCTTTCAACTCCAGCCTAGATGGCAGGACCCCTTCTCGCGCGACCAAATGCTGCCCTGTTATCCTCTCAAATCGCCTCGCTCCTCTGTTGGCAGGATGCCAACAAGCACCACCAGGAAGCCCAGACATCAGCGTTTCGGTTGTCTCCTTCTCATAGTCCGCCCACTGCTGCTGGTAATCTGCGGGATCACCGGTGAAGTGGAGTGGCTTTCTTTCCAGACTCTTGTGAATATCATCAGTCTTCACAAGTTTCGCCACCAGCCTGTTGGTGCTATATTTGTCCTAAACATTTGAATCCTATTATATAAATCGCAAATCTCATCAAATCTCAACATAATCCACATTAATGCCAATCAAATCCCACTTGGTGGCTCATCCCACTTAATAAGTAGGTTATAACCTGGTTATAAGTGGGATAAGTGGGGTTTATCAGTTAATCCACCTGTAACCAGGGTTATAAACTACTTAGTAAGTGGGTTAATAGATGAGAGAAACCGCTTAGTAGATGAGCCATCAACTATTTCAATGGCCATGTTCAATTGCTATGTTAAATTACCAGAGGGTATATGTCATTGTCATATTCAGTATAGCCGATAGATTTAGCCCATTCCATATGGAAATTAAATTGAAGTATATACTTGTTTGTTGTTTTTTAACAATCTTGAACAATATTAGTCAATGGGAAGGATTATCCCATATATGATGGAACATACAATGTTTGAAACCACCAACCAGTATAGATTGGTATGAGCCACCAAGCAAACATGTTGATGGCTAAGGGGTATCTGGCCCTGCTCCACCAAGAATCGAAGAGAACGGTGAGCCTTCGGTGGACTCAGCACGCGTTGCAGCGCACGTGTGCCGGGCAGGGAAAAGCAGCAGGGAACAGAAACCATAGGAAAACAGGAAAACTATAGTTAATAACTCCTATAACTGGGATATACTAGGATATTAATGGATATACAAAGTGGAACCCCCGCTGACGAAATCGCGATTGGTTGGGGGCCACATAACTCCAGCTTCACTATGGTTTATGATACTTATATCCATAGTTCTTTGTGTTTATAAACCGACTTTTAACTGGGGGGGGGCACATTGTATGGATGTAATGGGATTAATATGGATATCGTCCAAAGGGCCATTGTTTGTGGAAGCTTCAACGGGCCGAGCATGAATTGCAATATGAAGGCATGAAGACATTAATCTATTTACCAATTCAATTTGTCTCGAAACAAAATTGCACATTCCAAAATCTACAGTTGAGGCCCGAAATACCAGTTATACATACAAAGTGGGGCCCCAAACGATAGCTAAGTTTGATAATAACTCCAATAACTACGAGTATGGTTTATGGTACTTATAACTATAGTTAATTACTGGGGAATATAAACCAACTTATAACTGTAACTAGGGGGCCCACATTGTAGTTGTAAATGGCTATACATGGGGTCATAATTCCATAAATGGGGATATAAGTACTTATAACTGGTATGACTCGGGCCAAAACTGTGTTTGGCATCTCCGTCCCCAGTCGGACACCGCCAAAGAATCATCATCCATCACCGCTGCCCCCTGAAAAGTGAACTTTTATCCACTCGAGGCCCATGTCCCAAGTCATCCCAAGTCCCTTCTTCGGGGTGCCAACCTCAAATATGACACCAAAACACAGTTGTGCACTGTGGGGTCGCATCCGTGCCACCAAAGGGATACATGTCCTTAGTTGACCCACGCGGGATCATTCGTTTGGCTGCAAAGCCTGGTTCGCACGTCCACTAAGTGGTTTCTCACATTTACTTGGACAAAACAGTTGTCAAATCTGTTGCATGATCCAAAACAGATCGCCGGAAAAGTGCGCAACATTTTTTCACAAGCAAACCTTGAATGTTATCAACTAAAACTAGATAAAGATAGATCAAGGATATCATATCATGTAGGTGCAAAAAAATATGTATGTTGACATATATATATATACACATACATACTTATAAAAATATATGTATGCATGTGTATTACAAGACATCCGGGATTTGCTCAAGACGTTCCAAAGCGAAAAACATGGGCCAAAAACCTTGAGGACTTAATGCCTAGAAGACGCGTTATCAATCATTTTATGCGTACATCTTACATATGGTTGGCTAAAATTCCGTGGTGATTCAAATATATATATATATATACATATATATATATATGTATGTTTGTATGTATGTATGTATGTATGTATGTACGTATGTACATGTGTATATATATATATATATTGACATTTACTTACATAATATGTTGTCATGACACACAAAATAAAGGTTCTTGTTTTAGCGTGATTTGGCATTTTCCGAAATCCAAACGGTCGGTGGGTTTTTGGCGTGAACAAAAATAACGCCTCCTAGGGATCCTGTAGGGATCTTGTTGGGATCCTGTATCCATTTCCACAGTTTTCCCCATGTAAGGTGGTTTTTGGAAGTGGGGCCCCCGTTGATGATAGCTAAGTTGGTGAATGAATTCAAGGGTCTTTGTTGACATCGATAGTTGGGGGTTACAACCCACAAGTATGGTGATGTATATATATATATTATAGATATTATATATATATTACAGTATATTATATATATATATATATTATAGATATTATATATACATATTATATTACAGTAAATATAAATTCATTATATAATATTATATTATATTTAATATTACATATATATATATATATATATCCTGGTTGGTGGTTTCGACCCCTCTGAAAAATATGAAAGTCAGTTGGGGTTATGAAATTCTCAACCTATGGAAAAAGAAAATTCATGTTCCACACCACCAACCAGTTATTTATTGCTGGGGGAAACCCAGTTGAGCAATAGCCAAGAGCATTGGGTGTTGTTGACCCGCCGATTTTTTATTTAGGATTGTGAGGCCCCATTTTGGAAGCCCCTGGCGTTGTGGTTTTTCAATCCATATATTATCACTATCTCTCACTTTTTGTAAGGTTATAGCCCCGACAAAAAAATCGTTCATCAGTGATCTACCTGGTTTTGATGGATTCATAATTAGGTCCCCCCTTTTTGTGTGAAATGGGGTATGCCCACAACATCCCGTCTTCGCATTGAAACCCATGGGTTTGAACCCCCTTTTCAAACAAACTCATTGCTGGGCCATACTTGGGGGTGATTTTGAAGGGTATAAACATGGACATGACCCTGAAGTTGGTATAAGCACAATTTCTATAACCAAATACCAGCTTATCAATTTGAATTTGGACAGATTAAGGAAAAAAACAAAAAAAACATACTTTGAAATTACTGTATTTTGAGCGGATGAACATCCATAACTTGGATTTGCTTAAGGCACCCGGAAAAATAATACCAAAAAACGATTCCCAAACATAGTGAATTTTGATTACCCATCAGGACAAAAAATCATCTTCAGCAAATCCATTAAATCCCGCTGAATCCCTCTGAGTCCCGTCATAATCATTATATGATATCCGATAGAACAACTGACAATTCCCTTCTTATCCCAATTTAAGATATGGGAATGGGTCAACATGTCATTGGATGGTCAGTACTAAAAATAGACTGAGCCATCTGTGGCTGTCCAGGGTTTTTAATCTTGACCCATACCATTTCAATACTTTGAATGGCAAGTTATCATGGCCATCTCAGGAGCCTAAATTGGAGGTACCTACCATATATTAGGCTTATGTGAGGGCTATGTGAGGGCTATGTAAGGCCTATGACTAGATTGGTAATTAGTCCACAGCAAATTGTCATATTTTTTTTGCTGGCTAGCTGGTGATGTTCCATAAAAAAAATGAAGCAATATAATTATATTCATATAACACAACAAATCTTTAGGATAGAGGAATGGCACCAGAGGTTTGCGGAAATACGAACGGCTCTAACATTCCATTCCTGCTTGCCTGAACCAAAACAGCAAAACATACACGTTTGGCGTATGTAGATCACCGGAGGAATGCTAAATCTCCACTAAAGGCAAGCTGAGACCAGCGTGTGATAAAGCAAACCTCAAAGGATGTAACACAAGATGTTCTAGCTAAAGCCGAAGAAAACATTGCGCAAATCGATAGCAACGTCAAATGGAGATCACACTTCAATGTCGTGCGCCAAGATTGTTTTTCAATGTCAGCTTCCTGTTCATCGTTTGGCCCAGCTCTAGGACGCACCTCTCGGCCAATACCCGCATAGTATCTGCAATAAGGGTTGAAACCAAGCTGGTTGGAAACTGTGTAGCAGCTTGTGCACACGATCGGAATTCGCAAAATTGTAGGCGTGGTCCCGAGTGTGCTTCCAGCAACTTGCTATTTCTTTTGGCTTGAACTCGTCAGGAACATCCTTGTTGATGTTGTCGATGCGCTCCAACGGCAGCAAATTGTGCACCAGCCTCAGTAAATCCTGACAGCGATCAACAATTTGATATAGTTTCTACCCATCCAGTCGGATGAATCTATCCATCAACAAAAGCTATTTTCACTCTACGGGATTCCGTGTCATGACACAATTCACCCAAGCTGCTGCGCCGCACGTTAACTCAGCTGGTTTCGCCGCGGCCAACACCTGCGAATGTTGTGGAAAATCCGCACAGGGATTCAGAAAAAGCTTGGGACTATACTCCGAATGCACTTGACAGTCCAGCTGAGGCAATTGATGTTTTGTAGAACTTGTTTTGCAAACCTTCAAAAGATAGGGTATAGGGGCCCTATAACTTTGGTTATATATCATGTTGTATTTGGGCACCCCCAACTATCGATTTTTCTGTACAATTCGGGGGAACCCCCTGGATGATGTATCACCACTGAAGTTGCCATTTGGAGGGTGTATCCGATTGTGAGACAAACCCGTATGGGGAATACATCAATAATTTGCTATATATGACGTACCAATGATGAGTATGGGGCTTAGTAACATAACCAAAAGTGACTTCCACTTAAAATGCAGTCTATTTTCAGCATGGTCAATCTTTGGTAGTCCACTTAAAAAATGTCATCTAAATTGATGGTTATGGCTATGATGTTTTTTTTTTTTAATATTCATTTGCCCCAATGTTTCATTTTTTTTTTTGGCTGCTTGGCTGGTGATTTTCCGTTGAACGAATCAACAAAAATAGCCATCCAGTCTTGTCCATCACCAAGCGAGATTACCTTGGGGGAGGGTCTCCATGGTTTTTCGGGCCTAGGGGCTGTTTAATATGAATTAATATGAAGGGGTTATGTGTTGCATCTGGCCCATTCTGGCCCGCAATAACAGTTGAAATTACCCCATTTATGGAATAATAACGTGATTTAGAAACAATTTTTTAGTGCCTAGAGGGCTTTAAGTGTAAATATATGTTCCAGAATGTTCCACGATTGTTGTAAAGTTTGTTAATTGTCATGGGGAAAAAAACGACATGGCCTGATAAATCCCAAATGAAACATGTATCTATAAGAATTGGTCAAAACCATGGATATTGATATTTATGAAAAGCATGAATCTCATACTTCTGGGTATCTTGCTGTACCTTTCTATTTCTTTTACGGATCATTAATATAATACAAAATAATGATGTATGAAAACCACCGGATGCAGCTGCTTTGACAAGTTGTTTTATGCTAGTCAGCTAGTCTATACCACATAGATGTGTGAAGACTGCTACTTTCTTAGATCAAGGAACTACAGTTAAGGCCCTTTACCAGTTATAAGTACTTATAACCCCATGTATAAAATGTACAATCCCATTTATAACCCGTTATAACTAATAAATTGCCATAACTGTAAGATGTCAAATTCGACCCATGCAAAATGCTTGAGAATGGTTAATGGATGGTTGTAGGTACTGAAAAAGATCATGAAATGTCATGAAATGTCATGAACCTCTCAAACTTGCTATTTGACGCATGGACTTGCCATGAGCATTACTGTACAGTTAAGTAAAGGCCGTTTGCCAGTTATAAGTCAGTTATAAATGGCTCTAATTAGGCTAATAATTGCCACTGCACCTGGATGTAGTGCAATAGGTTACCCATGGATCCTAAGTGGGTTAGTTCACCCTACAATGTGGGGCACCCGTGGCCACGGAATCGCTAAGTTGGCGAGCAAAACTCCAATAGCTAACGATAACTGGGATTCAACCAAGACATGTTGGGCATTTAATGGGATTTACAGCTGATCGTTGATAAATAGCTAAGTAAGCCAAATAACGCAAATTTCACCACAGTTTATGGTACTTATAACGACATTTGCTGGCGTTTAAAACTTATAAACCAACGTTCACATCACGTTTGGGGGCCCCACATCGTAATTACAAGTGGATTAAGCGTATTTATCCCACTAACAAAACCAGGGTGAACTAACCTACGGACAGGATCCGTGGGATGAGCAAGTACTAAGCCTGAAATGTTGGGTCATGGCTGAGGATGATTCCCCTATACATTCACCATCATTCCAGTGACATCACGACATCGTCGATCGCTAGTTCATTCATCCAGGAGAGGCAAATTGAATCTGGGCATGGCCTGCTTGGATGCTCATCCCAGCTACTAAGTGTGAAAGAACCACGTTACAAGCCATCTATATGTGGAAAATAGCGTAGTTACGTGTGGCTTCGTGCACTGCAGCACTGTTGCTAAGTGAGATTCACCCGCAAGTATCAGGCGATCTGACATTGGGGTCCAACGTGATCCAATGTGGTCTAATGTATCCAAAGCAAAGGACAGATTTCAGGAGATTTCACCAATCATCTGGGCAGAGCACAGTACGGTTCAAAGTCCGTTATTTCTGGGACCCCTCGCAACCTACAGTTGTGGCTATGGTTATTAGTTACAATTGGTTATTTCTATGGGATTATACATTCTATAAATGGGGTTATAAGTACTTATAACTGGGAAAGGGCCTTAACTGTACTAGCCATCATCTTCTGTGTTGTTGTGAGGTTGCTGTAATTTGCAAAGAGCCATGAGGGTACAATCTAAAAGCGATGCGTGCCTTTATATTCATACAAGGTGGGTCCCCCATTTATAAGATGCTTTACAACCCCCATTTCTATAGCTATATCTGCAACAAACCATAGTGAAATCTAGTAACTTCACTATCTAGATCTATCCAGTGCGCCCCAGCCACCAAAGAAACGCAAAAGAATGGTTCAGAAAGAGTGGCTGCGGCGAGGCAAATCCATCTCAGCATGACACAAATCCATTCTGCTGCGCCACCAATGCATGTCGTGAAGTTGATACTTCGCGCCGCATAGGCCCTTAGGACACCTGACATGACTGTGCAACCTCTGCATATCCGCCTGAATCATCGGTGGGTTGCTCATCAGGCCAGCTGCGAATTGCGGGGCTCGGTGCACACCGCTGTTGCAGTGAATCCAGGTTGTCTTCGGTAACGATCTGATTCTCTCGGGTCCAGCCCCTCAGATTCGCATCAAATGAAGCGGGAAGCACACCAATCTTGAAGTTCATCAGTGGCAGCTGACATTGGACATGCAGAATGCATATTTCTGGAAAACATGGCAAGAAGCGCTTTTGCCTGACCTCTTTTCATGTAGTTCGGATTGAACGCATACCATTCGTAGACAAAGGGATATTTAATGGGATTTATAGCTGATTGTTGATAGCTAAGTTGGTGAACATAATTCCAAAAACTATGGTCTATGGTCCTTATAACTATAATTGCTGGGGCTTATAAACCAACGTTCACATCACGTTTAGGGGCCACATTGTAATTATTGGCCAAATCAAGTAAACGACGACGTAGAATCACCGATGTCCACCATAATTTGCAATCAGTTCCCAACAATAGCTTGGAACGACAATGGTTGGCTTTAAGCTGTGATTGGTTTAAGGTCCAGTAAAAAAACAAACATAATTTAAGCATATGATAACAACCTTAACCATTTAAACATAGTTTTCTTAGGGTTCAGTTTCACAATGGAATAACAACCACAACATGCAATTATTTGGTTCATGTTCAGCTTGCCTGGGATTTCAATGTGTGGTTCCATATTCAAAGCATGCCCTAAAAACATCAAATACTCTCAATTACGGGTCAATGTAAATTCCTTTGGTAGTTTGCCATTTTCCATGGCTATATGGCACATTTAATCACATCTATAGATGATCTACCATGATTATATGATTTATTTAGCTCTTAAACATGGTATTCCAGATGAGGTGGCCCTCCGCAGTTTATCAGTTTAGCCAACGAACTACAACACGGGCTATATACCCCATCGACTTTAGTTCACCAGGTCTTGGATTTGGCCAAGGAACCCCAAAAACAACCATCAATATTTCCTATACAGTAGATTCCCCAAGCAGCGGATTTCCCATTCGGAAAATTTTTCAAAATCGAAGGAAACCCAAGAAGGTTTCCTAACCAATTTAGCTATCGTTTGGATGCCCACATTGTAGCTATGTTAAATCGCCCGAACTGCACAGAATTCCCAGAAAACAAACCACCAACGTACGAAAAACCACGTCGACTGCCTCCATGAAGGAAGCCGATGGAACCGCTGGAGTCTCGGTATGAGGCGGTTTTTGCCAACCTTTTTTGGGGAATATAGGGTTTATATCTGTGTAACACTATGTATAAAGAGTCTATGCAAGTTTCCCAAAAATGATAGATACCATTAAATACCCAAAATCATCCAAGTCATTAGATCATGTTACTATTGAAACCCACAGTTAAGGCCCGAAATACCAGTTATAAGTACTTATAACCCCATTTATAGAATGTATAATCCCATTTATAACCAGTTATAAGCAATAAATGGCCATAACTGCATGGTATATATATATATATATATACATATATATATATATATGTATTGGGATAGGCTAGTTAAGAGCCCCCAGCGAGAGCCGTCCATTCCACAGAAGTTGAACACAAACGTTATTGGGGGGCTTGTGAAAGGTGCACAACTGCTGTGAAACGTGCATAACTTCTATGAATTCGATGACAGGTTCTGCTCTTAACCAGACTATACAGTACCAGTAGACGTATACATACATACATACATGCATGCATACATACATACATACCATACCATACCATAACATTACATTACATTGCAATGCATTGCATTGCATTACATTACATTACATTGCGTTACATTACATTCATACATTCATACATTCATACATTCATTCATACATACATACATACATGCATACATACATACATACACACATACATTACCTACATACCTACATTACATTACATTACATTACAATAGATTAGATTAGATTACATTACATACATACATACATACATATATATACATTACATACATTACATACATTACATACATGACATACACTACATACATTACATACATTACATTCATTACATACATTACATGCATTACATACATTACATACATTACATACATTACATACATTACATACATTACATACATACATACATTACATACATTACATACATTACATACATTACATACATTACATACATTACATACACTACATACATTACATTCATTACATACATTACATACATTACATACATTACATACATTACATACATTACATACATTACATACATTACATACATACATACATACATACATACATACATACATACATACATTACATACATTACATAAATTACATACATTACATACATTACATACATTACATACATTACATACATTACATACATTACATACATTACATACATTACATACATTACATACATTACATACATTACATACATTACATACATTACATACATTACATACATTAATACATTACATACATTACATACATTACATACATTACATACATTACATACATTACATACATTACATACATTACATACATTACATACATTACATACATTACATACATTACATACATTACATACATTACATACATTACATACATTCATACATTGCATACATCATACATACATACATACATACATACATACATACATACATACATACATACATACATACATACATACATACATACATACATACATATAGATGATATACATTACATACATGCATACATACATACATACATACACACACAT